GTCGCTCGCTCCTACACTACACTCCTTCATTCCTCCTCCCTTGTTGACTACCGCTCTCATACTGGGATGGCCCCCTCCTCTTCCTATTCTTCTTCCTCTTCATATTCCTCCTGCTCCTCTTTCTCCTCCTTTTCCTCCTGTTCCTCCTGTTCCTCTTCCTCATCCTGCTCCTCTTTCTCCTCCTCATCTTCCATTACCTTCTATTCCTCTCACCTGTCCCCTCTCACCTGTCCACTGTCACCTGTCCCCTCTCACCTGTCCACTGTCACCTGCCTCTCTCACCTGTCCCCTCTCACCTGTCCCCTGTCACCTGCCTCTCTCACCTGTCCCCTCTCACCTGTCCCCTCTCACCTGCCTCTCGCACCTGTCCCCTCTCATCTGTCCTCTCTCATCTGTCCCCTTTCACTACCCAAGATGTGATAGAAAGGGGCGAGGCATGGAAGCAAGTGGTGGAGCTGTACGAGTGAGTGGGCAGTGAGTGGGGGAGGGTGGAATGAGTGGTGGTGGTGGTGGTGTGAAATTGAGTGAGGGAAGTGGGGTTGAGTGTGGGAGTGAGTGAGGGTAGGAAAGTGAGTGGATGAATGCAGGAATGAGTGGGTGAGTGTGGGAGTGACTAGATGAGTGTGGGAGTGACTAGTTGAGTGTGGGAGTGAGTGGGTGAGTGTGGGATTGGCGGTGGCGGCGGCGTGACCTGAGTCAGTGTGGACAGGAGGAAGTGGGGCAGCAAATGGTCTGGTGGTCGTCAGGGTCAAAGGTCACCCACCCACCCACCTACCGACGTACCTTCTTTATCTGCGTAAGACAGGAAGTTCAACACAAAGGTTCCCTCCCCAGGTAGAATGATCACATAATACACTGAAGAACTGTTCAATATTATCTAAGATAACAATAACGGGTTGGAGGCCTGCTTCTTAAACCACTATTGCTTTTATAACGGAGACTCACAACAGCTTCTTGAACAATTTTTTAACCATGAAAAGACATTGAGATCCCTCACGAACAAGGGTCGACCCCCCACCGGAGTGAGTTCAGTGTACCGGTGCGCGAGGCGGTGGCTTCATCACGCCAAGACCCGAACATCAACGACACTAAGACTCGCTCGATAATAACTGTTCCCTGAACCAGATTTCATTACTAACTAGTTACTGTCGGCTGCGGCGTCTATAATGAGCGAGGGAAGAAGGTGTTCCCTGCAGGAGACGCTGGTGCAGCAGAACGCCCAGCCTGGTGCAGGTGCAGGACACGGATACAGGGAACAGGTCACCTCACAGTGACCTTGTGTATTATTGCGCCCCGCTGACGTAGCATACGAGTATTAGAGACATTAAGTTTTGTGCCATACTCAGTGTGTATAAGTATGTGTTGTTAGCGTATGGATGAATTTTGAATTTTGCCATGGACAGTGGCCAGTTTATTGTGCACCTCGCACTGAGTGGCTAGTTTATTGTGCATCCCATACTCACCCTGTGTGTGGTAGTGCTAAAGGATTACAAAGTAGAGGCCACAAAGGTTGTATATAACAGACCCCAATGGTCAGGATATTATGGCAATGAATGTTAGAGTATTTCAAATAATTTCTTTGTATAGTTATGTACATAGAGGATAACTTATTCACAACTGTGCGAGTACAGGCGTGTGAGGCAGTATGTCTGGCCGCACACTCTTATTCACATTTGCGTGAGAAGTATTCAAGCACATTGTATGTTTGGTTCTATACATGGGAAATGATATAGCTACTAAGTGCAAAAAAAGGATACAATCTTAATATATCAGTCATCTTGCCATGAGAGGTCAAGTGTTGTAGGTAACAGTCAGTGGGCCATGTTGTTGAGCTGCGACCTATAACGTATAACAGTCTTTACACCCAGGAGACAACGCCACTATTGTTGTGTTATAGCACGGGTGTGGTATCTGGCACTTACTGGCATCGTCCAAGTCGGATACACAAGTTCTGGCAGACACACGTTAAGTTCTTATGAGGAAGGTACACGGTCATGACACCTTCTGTACATTTAGTAATTTAGGGTGAAAATTCAGCCTTAGTTGAGATTTTTTCACTGCATGAGGACGTCCAACCCTCTCTCGATGTGGGGGCTCAAAATACACTAGTTTGTGTTGTTATTTACGAAAGTTTTTATTTTAAATACTCCAGGAGTTTGATTCTCTTCCTACCAGATTAGGTAAAGATCTTGATATCTGTTGAAGTATTCAATAGTCTCGATTTCTATGTTCTTCTGTTCAGACATAACGGTCAGTGTTTATACGGAACTCTTCAGTGTGTGTGAAGAGCATGGGTAGTGTACGAGTGTTTAGACAGGCTCTCTATTGATTACGGGACCAGTGTTATTGATGATAAAATTGGTCCTTTGAGCTTCGAGTATGGTGATAACTCCCCATTGGCTGTGTGTTTCAGACTGAAAAACTCTTCAACAAGCCACAAGCGTCACAAAGGTTGACCAACTTGACCCAAAACTACACACAGGAACTCACGTCTTTACAAGCCCGAAACTGTTCTTGCATGTTGACCATTGACTCTTACACCTCAGGAAACTGATTCACCCCTTGTGTTTGTGAGGCCGTTGTCTTGGTCTATAAACCGTGTGTACGACGTTCACTCAACCATCTCCCTGTACAGCTATAATATACACTTATAAATACAGGAAGTCACAATGATGCACAACACTGGGAGTAAATAATTGTTGATTGATTCTGTATTCCTCTTTGATGCTAAAACTGGAACAAATATTAATACACCTCCAGGTAAAGCAATATTAACGCGAAGGTATAGAAAACGGTGGCTATTAGGTCTAGAGTGCTGATCAAGAAGTAAACAGAGCAATTAATCCGTGTAGCAACACTTGTGCGATGAGTGAGCACGAACCAGCGACTTGGTGGTGTCTAGCACCTCCAGCCACTGAGTCATCTCGACCTGATTAATGTGAAGAAGATTAGGTGGAGGATGAGCTGTACCTTGTAAGTCAGTCCGCCCCAGGCCACCATTTCATATTACTGCGGGTGTGTGTGTGTGTGTGTGGTAGACCCAGCAGATCGTGGTCACACAGCTCACCAAGGGCAGCAGGGGTAGCCGAGACGTCTTGGGTGCGACAAAGACTCCGGGAATGTCGCGGGCAGACGAGTGCTGCTGCGGCCCGTTATCGTGGCCGTAGCTGTGGTGGTGGGTACGACCCCTACCCCCTTCCCCCACCTACCCCACCCGCGCCCCCTTGCGCTGACCCTCCCCAAAAAATCTCCTTCGATACTCGTTCCATTTTCTACGCTGTCTCACGATCAGTCATGACTTGTAACTCTGACCACACACACACACACACGCACGTGGATAAGTTGTGGTGTTGGGGAGAACTGCAGGTCAAATGAAACTCGACCTAACCTACCAATTAGGATTGATCATGAGTGCAGGGATCCATTAAAACTAAGCCCAGGGCCTAATAGTAGGTTATATTCGGTCTTATTGGGGCTGGAATCTATTGGACCCGTTACTGTTGGGTGGGGAATTAATTGAAATTCAAATGAGGAGATTAACAGCCTTCCCTACCCCATTTCCTCCTACTCGTGAATGAAAAGGAGGTGGGGGAGGAGAATGTCATCTGAGATAGGGACTTACCCCGTGACCGGGCTGAGGGTAGATCAATGACTTTAAGGGGCACGTGTAGCAGTAGGTTCCTCAAAGACACACGAGAGAAGTAGATTATAGAAGGGGCTACCTCATGACCCAGGTGATGACGTCACGAGAAGAAAATAAAACACCAAATATTAAAAACATCTCGATTATTTATCCGTTGTTCGTGTTTGTTGTGACTCACACTGGTGTTTTCAGCTTGAGTCATGATGTTATGTCTTTCTTCAGCAGCTGATGTGAACATAATGCAGTAATCATCCGAACACAGTTAACTTTCCTCGTTAACTAAAGTGAGGTGAACGTCCCAGATGTCGTCATTGGTGAGACAGAATGAACCATCATCTTCACACTCCGTCGTTCATCTTGACATTCTCACACGCTGCCTTATAAAGCACCAGTTTAATTATCACAGTGACGAGAGATGAAGGATATACCGTTGTGCTCATCTCAATCCAGCAGTGACGCAACAGTTAAGCTCAAGAGGCTGTGAACAAAAGTCGAGATCTGTGAACTGGGAAAGATCTTCGGCGTCTCACCACACTCCAACGCCCTGCTGTATTCATTTGTTTTATATTACTAAGAACTTTACACCATCACGACTGTCTTATATGGATCTATCACGTCTGTTTACTGTTGTTATAGTTTACTTCTAATCATTTATTATGTGTGTCTGCATTTGTGGTATAACACATGATTATACCCTCATATTATTCAAGGCTACAGTTCACTCCCAATACTGTCACCAATTTGCACCATCCTATTATAATTTTAATTCCATGTTGATGTGATGAAAGTGTTTGTAACTTGTATAATTTGAAGACACTAAAACCGGATTCTATAAAAAAGTATATATTATTTTTACTAAGCAATAACCAGTGAGCCGTGAAATTTCATATAATAACGTGTACTGTTAATCGAATTATTTTCTCTCCCATTACTCAGAGCTTTAATGATGCTTAAAACGAATTACAGTAGCAGTCGAGCTATTTTTGGGGAGCTCGAGGCGGACAATGAGGAGTTAAATCACTGCATGAAGGACAAACATGACAATAATTAATTAGTATTTTTAAAGAGAATCTTGTATTTTTTCTGTTTATGGTAGACCGGGGGAGGGGGGTTTAGTATCAAGTATAGGCATGCACACACACTTAATCGTAGCCTCAACTCACATACACGGTACTTAAAGTCAAACTTAACATCCAAAGTGACTCAAAATACTCAATATCATTTCACTCTACATGTTAGGTCATGAGAGTTACTGATAATATAAATTAATTACAAATGACGAATGTAAAAACTATCACCGGATATAAGTTAAGTGCATATTACTTCAACAGAGGAGGAGAGAAAGAGGAATACTCACCGAGATGACGGGTAACGGTGAGGAACCTTGTCTTCTCGCCACGTCTCCTTCACAGGTAATTGTCTCACTTTATGAGGCTAAGGAGGAGAAGGAGGTGCTGTTCGCGGGTCACAGGCCGGGGGTGGCTGGTAGAGGCTCTGACTTTGCCTCGCATGAGCCTCAAGGACGCCACTAAGTATCTCACGATAACGTTATTGGTTTCATTACCCTGGAAAATGTACGTTTATCCGTAAATAGACGAAGAAAGTTGTAGTTTTAGGTTAAGTGATCATTTATTTCACACGCTTAAGGGGCCGCTAATTCACATGCTTGAGGGGCAGTTATTTCAGAGTTTATGGAGTAGTCACTTGACAGGTTAGAGGGGTAATTATTTCGGTTTACAGACTACTTGTATACGAGGAGTTAGTATTACAATGCATAAACTAATAGACTAATATATAACAAAATGAAGGAATTTTTGTTCAGGTGAGGGGGTTCAAATTTCACAGTTAGGAGAGTTGTTATTTCACAGGTGGGAGGGTTGGTATTTCACAGGTGGGAGGGTCAGTATTTCACAGGTGGGAGGGTTGGTATTTCACAGGTGGGAGGGTCAGTATTTCACAGGTAGGAGGGTCAGTATTTCACAGGTGGGAGGGGTGGTATTTCACAGGTGGGAGGGTCAGTTTTTCACAGTTGGGAGGGTCAATATTTCACAGGTAGGAGGTCAGTATTTTCACAGGTGGGAGGGGTGGTATTTCACAGGTGGGAGGGGTGGTATTTCACAGGTGGGAGGTCAGTATTTCACAGGTGGGAGGTGGTATTTCTGAGTAGGAGGGTCAGTATTTCACAGGTGGGAGGGTTGGTATTTCACAGGTGGGAGGTCAGTATTTCACAGGTAGGAGGGTCAGTATTTCACAGTTGGGAGGGTCAATATTTCACAGGTAGGAGGGTCAGTATTTCACAGGTGGGAGGGGTGGTATTTCACAGGTGGGAGGGTCAGTATTTCACAGGTAGGAGGGTCAGTATTTCACAGGTGGGAGGGTCAGTATTTCACAGTTGGGAGGGTCAATATTTCACAGGTAGGAGGGTCAGTATTTCACAGGTGGGAGGGTTGGTATTTCACAGGTGGGAGGATTAGTATTTCACAGGTGTGAGGGTCAGTATTTCACAGGTGGGAGGGTTGGTATTTCACAGGTGGGAGGATTAGTATTTCACAGGTGTGAGGGTCAGTATTTCACAGGTGGGAGGGTTGGTATTTCACAGGTGGGAGGATTAGTATTTCACAGGTGTGAGGGTCAGTATTTCACAGGTGGGAGGGTTGGTATTTCACAGGTGGGAGGGTTAGTATTTCACAGGTGTGAGGGTCAGTATTTCACAGGTGGGAGGGTTGGTATTTCACAGGTGGGAGGGTTAGTATTTCACAGGTGTGAGGGTCAGTATTTCACAGGTGGGAGGGTTGGTATTTCACAGGTGGGAGGGTTAGTATTTCACAGGTGTGAGGGTCAGTATTTCACAGGTGGGAGAGTTGGTATTTCACAGGTGAGAGGGTTGGTATTTCACAGGTGGGAGGGTCAGTATTTCACAGGTGGGAGGGTTGGTATTTCACAGGTGAGAGGGTTGGTATTTCACAGGTGGGAGGGTTAAAATGGATCACCTACAGCCTGATCACCCCCAGCTTATTTCACCTACAGATTAACCACCCTAAGGCTAACCTGAAGAACCTCCATCCCAGCTGATATTGTTTTCCTCTCGGGGGTAATAATTTAACCCAAGAGTACGAATCTCACAGGTGGGTTAGTTATAATAATGTACCTAAAGAAGAAATGGTCATATAGTAGATTAAATTAGTTATAAATTATTGAAAATTATGAGACAATTGTAAAGTATTAATGCTATTCATAGTGATGATTTGGTAAAATAACAGGAGTATTATAACAGAGTAGTTATATCACGTGGGAGGAATATTAACACATGGAGTAGTTATATCACTTGGGAGTAATATTAACACATGGAGTAGTTATATCACGTGGGAGGAATATTAACACATGGAGTAGTTATATCACGTGGGAGGAATATTAACACATGGAGTAGTTATATCACGTGGGAGGAATATTAAAACATGGAGTAGTTATATCACGTGGGAGTAATATTAACACATGGAGTAGTTATACCACGTGGGAGTAATATTAACACATGGAGTAGTTATATCACGTGGGAGTAATATTAACACGTGGGGTAGTTATATCACGTGGGAGTAATATTAACACGTGGGGTAGTTTTATCACGTGGGAGTAATATTAACACGTGGGGTAGTTATATCACTTGGGAGTAATATTAACACATGGGCTAGTTATATCACGTGGGAGTAATATTAACACGTGGGGTAGTTAATATTAACGTAGGGGAGTAATATTAACGTGGGATAGTTATATTACTTGGGAGTAATATTAACACGTGGGGTAGTTATATCACGTGGGAGTAATATTAACACATGGGGTAGTTATATCACGTGGGAGTAATATTAACACGTGGGGTAGTTTTATCACTTGGGAGTAATATTAACACGTGGGATAGTTATATCACGTGGGAGTAATATTAACACGTGGGATAGTTATATCACATGGGAGTAATATTAACACGTGGGGTAGTTATATCACGTGGGAGTAATATTAACACGTGGGGTAGTTATATCACGTGGGAGTAATATTAATGGGCTTTTATACGTGGAGTAATATTAACACGGTAGTTATATCACGTGGGGATAGTGTGGAGTAATAACACGTGGGATAGTTATATCACATGGAGTAACACGGGTAGTTATATCACGTGGGGAAGTATTAACGTGGGGTAGTTATATCACGTGGGATAATATTAACATAGTTATATCACGTATAATACTAACACGTGGGGTAGTTTTATCACTTGGGAGTAATATTAACACGTGGGATAGTTATATCACGTGGGAGTAATATTAACACATGGGGTAGTTATATCACGTGGGAGTAATACTAACACGTGGGGTAGTTTTATCACTTGGGAGTAATATTAACACGTGGGATAGTTATATCACGTGGGAGTAATATTAACACGTGGGATAGTTATATCACATGGGAGTAATATTAACACGTGGGGTAGTTATATCACGTGGGAGTAATATTTACACGTGGGGTAGTTATATCACGTGGGAGTAATATTAACACGTGGGTTAGTTATATCACGTGGGAGTAATATTAACACGTGGGGTAGTTTTATCACTTGGGAGTAATATTAACACGTGGGGTAGTTATATCACGTGGGAGTAATATTAACACGTGGGGTAGTTTTATCACTTGGGAGTAATATTAACACGTGGGGTAGTTATATCACGTGTGGTGTAACTAACAAAGGTTGGAGGATATTTCTTACACGTGGTGTTGTGATTTAACGGTGATAGCATAAGTACACTTTAATTAGAGGTGTTAGTTATTATACGAGATGTATTCTGGAAGACTTAGTTAACACCTGGAGTTAGTAGTTATAATCCTTGAGGAAGACAATAAGAGTCATTCCCTGTACTTTGTAGTAATGATAATAACAATAGGCTACTCAAATAGACAGAGCTATTGTAATACTAACTAGGTGAGGTGAGATGGCTGACCAGCAGGTGCAGTAATAACTAACAGCACCACACACACTACACATCCACCGTCACGAGCACATCCCTCTGGTCACACCACACTAACTCCTCCTGGACCTTCTTCCTATTCTTCTTCTACCATTTCTTTTGTCACACGATCATTATCACATCTCTCTCATTTCCCAGATTTATCCAATTTATTGTTGTCTGTCTTTGGGTTATCGTTTTCTTGTTTTCGAGAAAGTTTGAGGGGAAGGATTCACAGAGTGGAAGGTTTAGCGTCCAGGGGTTGAGGGTGGGTGAGGGCTTTGTGCAGTAGGGGAATCACAACCACACAAAACAACGCCGCTGCGCACACTGCCACTGCCTCCTCCTCTGTGCGCACCTTTCCGCCACCACTACCCGCAACAGTTACCATACGTCTCCTGTTCGTAAGACTTGTGGGGTTAACCTCAATGTTTAATCAAGGAATACCGGAGTGCTTGTCATCGTTGCCGATATGTGGAAGATGAACCCGGAGGTGAATTTGAGTCATTTATTATGGCGTGAAGTTTTATAACTTAGCGGCTACCATCACAGGGCCGTGAACTCTGGCCTCATGTTAGTGTTAAAGTCTATGTTGGTCCCTGTGTGTGTGTGTGTGTGTGTGTGTGTGTGTGTGTGTGTGTGTGCGCGTGTGTGCACGCGTATGTGTGTGTGTCTGTGTGTGTGTGTGTGTGTGTAATAATAATAATAATAATAATAATAATAATAATAATAAACGGTTTATTAATAGAGTTGCAGCCGGTGGCTGAAAATATACAGACTTACATGTGATTTAGACATAATGATATGCATTCAATACATTTACAGGGCTCTACAGTACATAAATCAAGAGTTGTTTATTATTTTAACAATAGATGGGATGGTGCTGTTCATATATCTATCGGTGCGGGCTCTTATGGGCTGAATTTTGTTGTAGTGGCAGACTGCGCGAGTTGGGTGGGGGGCTGCAGGTGGCAGGAGGTGGCGATGACGAGGGTGGTGCAGTAGTCCACTGCCAAACCTTTCCAGTGCTTGGTGTCTATGTGTGTGTGTGTGTGTGTGTGTGTGTGTGTGTGTGCGCGCGTCTGTGTGTGTGTGTGCGTGTCTGTGTGTCTGTGTGTGTGTGTGTGTGCATCTGTGTGTGTGTGTGTGTATGTGTGTGTGTGTGTGTGTAATAATAATAATAATAATAATAATAATAATAATAATAATAATAATAATAATAATAATAATAATAAACGATTTATTGAAAAAGTTTGCAGCCCGAAGGCTGAAAATATACATTGGACATAAATGACTCATTACATACATTGGTGATTTAACAAAAGCCTTCATTAGAGAAAGGTGAAGGAACATATACAGTGAATATACAGATTAATGTTTACACACGTAGATCATGTGAGCTGAGGTGTTGAACAGCAGACACGTAGTGTAGTAACTCCCTCACAGATGGCGTTATGAGGGGCATCACGTGGAGTACTAGATCCCTCACAGGTGGAGTTATGAGGGGCTTGACGTGGTGTAGTAATTCCTTCACAGATGGTGTTACGAGGGGCCTGATGATGTAGTAGTTCCCTCACAGATGGTGTATGAGGGGCCTGATGTGGTGTAGTACTTCCCTCACAGATGGTGTTATGAGGGGCCTGATGTGGTGTAGTAATTCCCTCACAGATGGTGTTATGAGGGGCCTGATGTGGTGTAGTAATTCCCTCACAGATGATGTTATAAGGGGCCTGATGTTATCACAGATGGTGCGAGGGGCCTGATGATGTAGTAATTCCCTCACAGATGGTGCTATAGGGGCCTGATGTGGTGTAGTACTTCCCTCACAGATAGTGTTATGAGGGGCCTGATGATGTGTAGTTCCCTCACAGATGGTGTTATGAGGGGCCTGATGTGGTGTAGTAATTCCCTCACAGATGGTGTATGAGGGGCCTGATGTTGTAGTAATTCCCTCACAGATGGTGTTATGAGGGGCCTGATGATGTAGTAGTTCCCACACAGATGGTGTATGAGGGGCCTGATGTTGTAGTAATTCCCTCACAGATGGTGTTATGAGGGGCCTGATGTTGTAGTAATTCCCTCTCAGGTGTTATGAGGAACTTCACATGATGCTGTAGCAACTCATTCACTATGCGGTGTCGTGCATAATGGGGACACCACGTGGTCCGTTGTCACAAGAATTCACTCACTCAAGTGGGTGAGGTGTGGTCCCAGGCCTCTCTATCGTGGAGTCTCAGGGGAATTATCACTGGGTACCTGGGACCTCACAGTGTGAAGGTTAGCTTGGTTCAGACTCAACTGCAGAGTTGTTTTTCACTGACTTAAGCACTGTTCACCACTATTCAACACTGGTTCCATTCCATTCCCAAATGAAATAGTAACTTCTGGCGAGAACTTGTTGATATTCCGGTGGGGAGGAGGGTTCAGGGGAGGGAGTTGGTGTGGGCCAACATAACAGTTGACGTGGCTGCTGCTGAGCAGCACCAGGTGCGTCTGACCCGTCTTGACCCGTCTGTGGTCATAAGAACATAAGAACATAAGAATGGAGGAAACTGCAGCGGGCCTATTGGCCCATACTGGGCAGTCCCGTTTACACCCAACCCCTATTGCTCATATAAGCATCCAACCTATGTTTGAAGCTATTCAGCGTATTCGAGTTAATGATGATATTTGGTAACTTGTTCCATTCATCCACTACTCTGTTTCCAAACCAGTGTTTACCTATTTCACGCCTAAATCTAAATTTGTCTAATTTAAAACCATTGTTACGAGTTCGCTCCTGGTTGGATAGTTTGAGTACCTTTGTAATGTCCCCTTTGTTTAGCCCTGACTTCCACTTATACACCTCTATCAGGTCGCCCCTCGCTCTACGTCTCTCGAGGGAGTGCAAATTAAGATGCTTTAATCTGTCTCTATACTCAAGGTTCCTAATGCCCGGGATTAGTCTTGTCATTCTCCTCTGAATTCTTTCCAATGATTCTATATCCATCCTGTAATACGGTGACCAGAACTGAACAGCGTAATCCAGGTGTGGTCTCACAAGCGCAAGATACAGTTTTAGGATGACCTTGCTAGTCTTGTAACTAACACTCCTTTGTATGAACCCAAGTACTTTATTAGCCTTGTTACGAGCAAAAACACATTGTTTACTTGGTTTAAGGTTCCTACTTATCATTACTCCTAAATCTCTCTCGCAGTCGGATTTCTCTATGGCATCGTTGTTCATCTGGTATCTGGTTCCCTGTTTACATCTCCTTTACCGAGTACTTTACATTTGTCCACGTTGAATTTCATCTGCCATTTTTCAGACCATTCGAAAAAAATTTTTAGATCTTCCTGTAGTTTTGCGGAGTCCTCATCAGATTTAATAACACGTCCTATTTTAGTGTCATCAGCAAATTTACTTATGTTGCTGTCTATGCCAATATCTATGTCATTTATGTATATAATAAATAATAATGGTCCAAGTACTGAGCCTTGGGGAACTCCACTTGTGACGTTGCTCCAATGGGACTTAGTGCCGTTAATGCTCACTCACTGTTTCCTGTCCTGTAACCACGCCCTAATCCATTTAAGGATGTTACCTTTGATGCCATGTGCTTCTACCTTTCTAATTAGTCTTTCGTGGGGGACTCTGTCGAAGGCTTTGCTAAAGTCGAGATGTACCACATCATAATTGTGCCCCTCGTCCACCGATTCGAAAACTGATGAAAAGAATGTTAATAGATTAGTTAGACAAGAACGTCCGCTTGTGAAACCATGCTGGGAATCATTGATCAATCCGTGCTTCTCCAGGTGATTTCCTATAGAGTTTGAAATGATTGCTTCCAGTAATTTGCCTACTATTGATGTTAGACTGATTGGGCAGTAGTTAGAGGATAGTGATCTATCCCCCTTCTTGAAAATCGGAATTACATTCGTTATCCTCCAGGATTCTGGTACTACACCTGTTTTTAAGGACATGTTAAACAACTTTGCTAAGGGCATACTAAGCTCTTCCTTACATTCCTTTAATACTCTGGCAAATATCTCATCGGGACCAGGTGACTTATTAGGCTTTAGTTTGTCTATTTGCTTACTAACATCGTTACTAGTCATTACTATCTCGCTTAATTTGTTTTCTTCACTATCTCTGAATAGAGTCGGTGCCTCAGGTATCATGTTTAAATTTTCAGTGGTGAAAACTGTTGAAAAATATTTATTCAAATTATTGCTCATTTCTCCGTCGTTATCAGTGAGCTCGCCGGTTTCTGACCGTATTGGTCCAATCTTTTCTCGTGTTTTATTTTGATACATTTGGTAGAATCCTTTGGGGTTTGTCTTCGCCTCCCTTGCTATCCTTACCTCATTATTCCTCTTGGCTTTCCTTATCTCGGTTTTAACCCTACTCGCCAATATCTTATAATAATCCTGGAGGTAAATTTCGCCACGCTTTATCCTTCTACCTATAGCCTTCCTTTGGCCAATGATGTTCTTTAAATAATCATTTATCCATTTAGGGTTATTGTTGTCTGATCTGAGTTTTTTGTATGGTATGTTCTGCCTTTGTGCATTAAGTAACTCATTATTTAAATTGTCGCAGAACTCGGCAATCTCAGATCTCGTTATCAGGTCGGAGTCATCTGTCAGGTTCACGGCCAAGTGCGACACCCCCTCTCTCAGCTGCCTCTTTAAACTGTCAAAGTTTGGCCTTCTGAAATCTGGTACTTCAGTGGAATTTTCCTTACGTCTGCCCTGAAAATCTAACTGGAATCCAATCTCTTTGTGATCGCTGTTTGCAAGTTCGTTCCCAACCTCGATATTGCTAATGAGGTTTTCTCTGTTCGCCTGAACTACTATAAATCGAGTATATTATTACCCCGGGTGGGTTCGGTTATATGTTGACTTAGGAAACAGTCCTGGATTGTCTCGAGAAAATCCTCTGATTCTGAGTTACCCATAAGGTCAGTCCAATCTATTTGGGCAAGGTTAAAGTCGCCTACTATACAGACTTTGTTGTGTATGAAAGCCCTGCGCATTTCATCCCAGATAAGTCGCTCATTGACTCTATCAAGATTGGGAGGTCTATATATTACTCCTGTGATTAATTATTCCCTTCCGTCACTTAATTCTATCCAAATTGTTTCTGTATTCCGCTCAGTTTTTATTTCCTTATTTATTTCACACTTCAGATTATCCCTAACATAGATTGCAACTCCGCCTCCTTTCCTGGTCTGCCTATCGGTATGGAACAATTTGTAACCCGCAATTTGGTATTCGACCGGCAACTCACGTGAGTCTAGGTTGATCCATGTTTCAGTGAATGCTATTATATCGATTTTTTCGGTACATACCAAGGCCCTAATATCATCCATTTT